AATATATTATAGTAATACTATATATTTATATTTTATTTTTAAATTAGGATTGTTTCAAAAGGCAATCATGCAAAGTGGATGTATGTTTAATCCATGGGCATTCACTGAAAAACATAAAGAAGCAGCTTTCAAGTTGGCCAAAAATTTAGGTTGTGAAAAAAACGATCCTAAAGAAATCGTTCAATATTTGCTCAATGTCCCAGCTATTGACATTGTCAAGTTAACTAAAATTGAGGTAGTCATGTGTWAAGCAGATTAAAATATTTTTTAAAACAATAAAAATTTAAATTAAAACTTATTTGTAAAATAAGTTTTGGTTTAGTAACTTCAAACAACTTTTTTCATCAAAAATAAGTATAATTTTTATTTAGTTTAAATATATTTTTCTGGTGTCTAAACTCTAAAGAGTAGCTTAGTATACCTTTCCCAAAAAACTTATTGTTGAGTAACTATTTATTTTTGCTTCTCTTTGACCAACAACTACAAATATTTACTGTAATTACTTTAATTACTGAAATGTTGATTTAAGTAACATATTTAATTTATTTTAGTATATTTAGTTGATTTATTTTTTAATATTTTTTCTTTTGTATACAATTTATTATAACAAACCTAAAAAAATTTTATTTTAAAAGGGCAAAACTGATTTTCAAAACTATGAGTTTATTCCATCTGTTGAAAGTGAAATGGTCAGTGAGGTATTTTTSCCTGCTCATCCTGAAGTTTTAATCCAGACTGCATCAACTGTACCTGTAATTACTGGGATCAACAACATGGAAGGATTGATAGCTTTTGGAGGCAAATTATTTGAGTAACTTAACAATTACCCCATTTTTTATTTATTTAATATTTATATTGAAAATTTCAAATGCCGTATGGTATGTTATTAGTATTTAATAGAAACAAATCCAATTTATGAGTTAAAAGGCAATATAAGAAAGATAAAACTAAATATTACTATCCTGTATCAATGTTTAGTGATAAAGTTTTGTACATTCACAAATATATTTTTGTCGTTAATATAGCAGTACAATAAAATTGATGAATTCTAATTTTCAGAGCATAGAATGATGAAAATTCTGAGCGACRCTGAAGAAATTAATGAATTACTTCAAAATCATTATAGTAAAGAAATTATTAACAAAGTAAAGAACTTTTACTTCAACGAATGTAACTTGGAATGCGGAACTACTAGATTGGAAAATATATGTCATGTAAGTGTACCAAAATCCCCAAAAAATTAGGAATCTGTTCAGTTTCTTTAACTAAATGTTGAAATATTATAAGATAATCTTAAGAATTTTTTTGTTTTGATTAGTTCTACAGTGATTTATATTTTACTAAAGATTTTCATCGTGGTTATGATCATTTTCTCAAACAAAATACCTCATCGGTTTACAGTTATGAGTTTAAATTTGATGGAGAAATCAATATTTGCAAAAGAATTATGTTTTCTCTAAGGCCAACTTTTCAATCGTTAAAAGGTAAGAATTTATGTTTAATTCGAATCTTATGACTTGTATTCTACTAAGTATAAATTATTATTAAATTTTATCTTTGTAATACTAAATTTMATAGGTGCATGTCACGCTGACGAATTGAGTTATTTATTTTATGGATCACTATTTGGATTTGCACCCAAACCCAATTCACCAGAGTTAAGAATGTGTAGAATATTAAGTAAATTATGGACCAATTTTGCAAAAACTGGGTATGTTTAGAATGATGGTTTATAAAAATTATGATCAGAATGTTGATTAACATCATAATATTCTACTTAATTTTAGAAATCCTAATTCGCAAGATTTATGTTTTGAATGGAAAAATACGAGTACAGAAGAACCGAAATATTTGTCATTAGATGGAGATAATACATGCATGGTTTATGGATTATTGAATGGTTCCAGGGTGCGTTTTTGGGAAAACATATCAGGAAAAATCGGATGGCAACAAAAATGATTTTTTGGAAATAGTGAAAAATTTTCTAAATACATTCAAAATTAACTAACTTTTATGTGGTAATTGATCAAATCAGCAACACTTATTTTGAAATACAAAACTAATGAARGACAATTAGCCAACTTTACCTAAGTCTAACTATCTAAATAATGACCTAGTGTAGTGTACAACAGTAAAATTTTAATTATTAATTATAGTCATAAGAAATGATTTGGGTACTTTTTTGATATTTGCATATAATTTTAAAATTATATTTTTTTCATTCAAAACAACAATGTTAAGAATAAATAACCTAATTGTATCTATTGATTATAAAATTTCTGTTTTTCTCATACTTCAAAAACTTGAAATAAACCTCGTCCTTCTATATCCTGCTAATTATTTATCCATAACTTGAAAAAAAATTTCTCTATTTGCCTTGATAGTTAGATGATAAAAAGTTTCTGTGTTGAATACAGCTAATGAAATTATGGTTAGCATTATCCTCTTAAATGATGACAATTAATTTCACTGTATGATACATTGTGATGTAATGGATCAATATGCGATCAGTGGGGTTTGGCCTTTCTTAAAGGTCCGGTCAAACAGAAAGCGGACTGTCCGCGYKGCCATGTGCACTATTTAAATGCATCATGCTGGTWAAACAGACGGCGGTCTACCGCRACGGACTATACTAGTCCGCCGCGGACAAACGAGCTGTTGTATTTTTTCACAAAATTCACGGCGGACTCGAATAAAATATATAGATAATATAATAATAATATTATATTCTAATAAATATACTATACTAGTCAAGTATAATATTATTAGAATCAAAATTCTTAGAAACCTTCAATTAAACTAATAGTAGACAATACACTGAATATTCTACGGATCAGCACT